CAACGCCTCCCCGACCTTACTGGACGAACGGTGCGGGGGGGTGTGTATCATGTAGTGCGGAGGGCGAGGAGTGGCAGATGTTGCAAAAAAAACGTGCGGCTTATAACCCGGTGCGCTTTATATATGAAAAAAGTTTGAAAAATTAACGTTAACTGATACTGCGGCTTATAATCCGGTGCGGCTTTTGGTCGTGAAAATACGGTACTTGACAAAGCTATCTTTGTAAAGCAGTACAGCACCAAAGAAATGAATCCTTTGAGTCAGCAAGTTCTACCAGCATACATAATAGAAAGCAATGCTGCACTTCAGAACAATTAAAGCAATCACATGATTCCAGAAATATTGATTTGGTTTAAGGAGTACCAGGGAAGTCTTATTGCATGCTCTGGAGCACATTTTTACTTTAAAACCTAAAGCACTATATAGCCCTAAAATATCATAATTTCACTGAATACAACATGAATTCTAGATACTTACAGAAAATGTATTACCCCAAGAAAAGGACCATCTATTCTACTAACTATTTTAATTGCACAACAACATGCCCCCACGTTCAAATTCATACAAACAAAACTACACCAAAGAAAATCAAATACAAAACATGATTTCAAGATACTTACATATTAACAAATAGATTTCCTATGGGTAGAAATTCTTCAAAAATCTGAGGATATGCTGTTTCAAATGTCATTGGCATCTAATTGGAGATAATCAATAAGGAATAACCAATGAAATATGTACTCTTTTCATTCAGTTCCCTGATAATATAAAATTCATTTTTAGCAAGCTATCCATATAAAGTGGGTTATCACAGTCCACATTTTCACATGACTGTGTACACCTATAATAAGCATTAGGACTATACGTTTAATTACAGAACACTGTAATTTTATAATAATCAGCTGCCATACTAATAATGGCAGCTGATTATTATAATCCATCTACAGAAGATGTAGAACTAGTGTGTGATAATTATTCGATTTCTGGTAAATTATGAGACAAATCTTCACCTAGTCAAGAGGAATTAAAATGTCACCAGATTGTCTAGATTCTTCATTTATATTTTAACTACATCTATAGATTAATTAGATAACAATATCATTAAGTGTTGAACATTCTACACTTTGAATATAAATTTTTGACAAACATTATATATAGAAACATTGGCCCCCTTGTTTAAAAAGTTTGAGGACCCCTGACTTAATGTAATATCTGTCTTAAGACAATAACACCTACAACAAATCTGTTAGTCTTTAAAGGCAAAGTAAAACAATATAGGGAATTACTAAGGCTCCACCTCATTCTAATTTCAATGCATTTCCCCCATGACTTAATATATTCTTACCGAGTAAAAATGTTCCACACGGATCCCATAAACACTTTGTAAAACTCTCATGAAAATCATACGCAATATTTCAGGCTAAAAAGAGAAGTACAATTTAACCAAATGAACAATGTATGAATTTTATTTTACTTAGAACTTCATTAATTTGCTTAACGCTACCAGAGTGAAAACTCTGAAAAGTTCAAGATAAGGTCAAGGCAAGAACTTAAAATATGTTAATACATATAAACAGTGCATTTTGACATCATTCCTGGTTACAAAATTAACCCTGTGGGCAAATAAAAATATTACTAAATCTTCTTCAAGCCTAATTGTGCAGCTGATGAAAAAAATACTGAAACTTTTACAGCAAATGTAAATATAAAATTCCACAAAAGTAATTTTAACAGACTGCCCTATGCTTTCACTTAAGAGGCTGAAAATTACTTTACATGTCTAACAAGCCAACTTTAGGCATAGTATTTAGAATATAAGACATAGCTCTAAAAAGACCCAGGTTCAAAGACATCCCTCCATATGACAAACTCATAAGGTGACTTAAGGCCAGGCACTCTTAGTCCAACCTACTTCATCAGATTGTTGTTGTGAGAAGTGCCATTTTAACACCAAAGAAGAAATGAGAATTCTAGTAACACTGAACGTTCTAAGGTTCAACTGTTCAGGATAAAAAGGACATATTCTAAATATGTGGTGATTGAGTAATTGCTTTCTATAATTAGAAAATTAATTAGCAGAAATTAATTATTTTTAATATTCCTCCTACAGGCAGGTTCCAGGGAGCAGGCTCATTGGGCAAAAGAACAGGAAGGGCAAAATGGTGTTTACCAATGAAGCTTGGTAAAGGAATAGAAATGAACAAGAAAAAACATAACAGTTTTGACCATCAGAGCCAACGAAGAAAAATAACATCATTGGGAAGTCATATGTCACCCTTGTGATTCTTGGAAGGAAAAATCGATGACTCATTAACAGCACTTCATTAATGAGATGATACCAAAAAAAGTAGAGAGGAAGGAATTGGCTATAAGTAGACAAAAAAAAGCAAACACAGTACATGGAACTGATGATCAAATGCAAGAGATATAGAATTCTATATCAAAAACTGAGGTTTTGAAGCCTTTGTGGCAAAAACAGGTTTTGAATGCCCACAAGAAAAGACACTTCTACAAAAATGAGATAAAACAGTAGATTCACGAAGAGCAGAGGGAATGACAAAGATAACTGACATTGGATCCAGTAGCCTAAACCTCCCTTTTCATCTCATATAATCATAACTCATATTAAGTTTAATGTCTGATGGCTAGACTACTAACTGATGAATAATGCTGTTCTCTGGCACTGTCAAGGAGACAGGATCTATTAGACTGGTTCACTCCAGGCAACTGATGCACACTTTTGGGCTTCAGAAGGAGCTTGGGATTGTCTCTGAGGCAGTGGTGAAATTCATATATTTTTTTTTTACTAACGGTTCTGTGGCCGTGGCTTGGTGGGCAGGGGAAGGATACTGCAAAATCTCCATTCCCTCCCCACTCCAGGGGAAGAGTATTGCAAAATTTCCATTCCCACCCCACTCTGGGGCCAGCCAGAGCTGGTATTTGCCGTTTCTCGGAACTACTCAAAATTTTCGCTTCCGGTTCTCCAGAACCTGCTGAATTTCACCAATCTAACTGAGGCCCAGGACTCCAACTGGAATGAGAGGGTTGCAGAATAACTTGATTGGAGCACACCCAAATGGCCTCCCCTAACTCAGGGATCCTGGATATCTTCCTGATTTATAGAATAGTTGAGGGAGATTAAACAGGTGAAAAGAAGAGATGATGCAGTATGAATCTTACTGAACATTAGAGCCATGATGGTGAACCTATAGCAGGAGCCCTTCTTTGGGTACGCGAGCCATCGCCCCAACTCAGCTCCACCGCACATGCATGCACGCCTCCCGCTGGCCAGTTGATTTTTGGATCTCTGCCGCACATGCACGGGACACATGCAGGAGATGCACACACATGCACAGGAGGTCACACATGCTTGGGGGGGCAATGTAGGGGGTGTCGTGTTCCTCCCAGGCACCCCATTTTTGGCCCCAAGAGGCTTCAGGGAGGCCTGTCAGGCCCAAAATGGGCCATGGGGGGAGGGGGTAACGTGCAAATGCATGGGGGAGCACGGGGGAGGGGATCACGCACGCATGCTTTTGGCACGTGATGACGAAAAGGTTATCCATCACTGAGTTGGAGCCGCTATTAAAGGCTATGTTGTGGTGATAATGCAGAAATTATACAACTCAATAGATGTCAAAAGAAATGCTGTTTTTCCTTGTGACAAAAAGGCTTTTGATTCTTTAAATCCACTGACAACTACGCCTTTTGATTGATCCATGTGAAAATAAAGAGAAATACATGGCATATGGGAATAAGCAGGAAATGAAAGTCTTAATGGAGGTAAATATGATTTAATAATCCCTGAAATTTTTTGTGATCAAATGCAAGACTAGCATGCAAGGACTGAAGGGTACAACAAATAGGTCACATAAGAACGCAGTGGTGTTATATGTGAAATACATGCACACATGTTTAAAGATTCAGGAATCTTAGCACAATGGTTCAATCAAGAGCAGCTGGATAAGAAAGAGCGTGGCACGACAAAACCGCGCTCCACTAAAGCGCGCCCGATTAAACCGCGTCGCTGACGTCATCAGCAGGGTGACAACAGCGACCGCAGAGAAAAAAGGGCGTTTTAAATAGCACTTTGAAAGCAAGCCGATTCAAGTTAAGGTAGGGGTTAGGTTTAGGGTTAGGTT